GGCAACAAATTACAAGTATCTTTTTCTTTTTTTTGAACAAACAAAACTTTCTTTTGGGGATATTGCAAAAGTTTATTTTCTATGCAACCTGTAGACCAAAAAAAAAAACACAACAAAATTTCCCACTTTACCTTAAAAAAATGACTGTTCATGTATATATTTTATTCTGTAATTTATCATTTTAATGACACATTAGAGAGTGTTAAACCCCCTTCCTGGCCAGGTCATTTTTCAGTATTCAGCGCTGCGGTACTTTGACATTTATTCGGTCATGCAACGCTGTACTGAAATTAATTTTATACCATTTTTTAGGGACACAAAAAGCTTTCTTTTGGTGGTATTTAATCACCACTGTTTTTTTTTTATTTTTTACTATATTAAGGAAAAATTACCGTAAATTTTGGGGGGGAAAAAACGTTCACCTATTTTAGATTATGCAACATTTAATAATACCCAATTTTTTGGTAAAATATAAAAGACGAGGTCACGTCGGGTAAATAGACACCAAACATGCCAAGCCTTAAAATTGTGTGCGCCCGCGAAACCTCAAAAAACAACAATACCCAAAATTGGCCATAGGCGACGCTTTACAAGCTTTCAGTTTAGTGTTATCAGTGATTCATGGCCCTAAAATTATTGCTCTCACTCCAACGTTACGGCGATATGTAACGTCTACCGCAATTGTCGCTTTCGTGCGTTGGCACAACCAACGCGTATTTTCTTTATATATGCGTATACGTGGGGTGGGGGACTTAAAGATTTTTTTTTTTACACTTAACGTTATTGCTAGCACATAGGGGGATAACAATCCCATGTGATAGCACAAGCACAGTGACAGTTCCTCCTTATGGAGATATTAGGGGTCTCCAAGACCCCTGTCACCTGGGTACCCCCAAAGAAGCTGGTGAAGCAGAGATCTTCATCAGCTTCTTCTCTCTGGCTATAGCAGCCAGAGGACTGACAGGTGAATGCGGAAGAGATGTAATACTCTGCTCTACTCAGATGTAATCACTTCTGCATTCAGACATCGGAGGGAGATGAGCAAGGAGGAAGATGCTGACTCCCTCCCATCTTCCTCCTGACACCCTCCCGAGCCAGTCCCGAGCTGCAGATGGTGCGGGGGAGCCTGGGATTGAAGGTGAGGGTCAAAGGGGGAAAGGGGGGGCGGTACTGTGGGAGGTGGCACACATGGCGGCACGTACAAGTGATCGGACGGCTAAAGAGCCGCCGATCGCTTGTACGTGTAACAGTCGGTAACGGCTGCACAGATTCCCGGCGGGATTCTGCTAGGGGGCACGCGTGAGCAGAAAAAACAAACCTACATTTACGTGACCGCGCCAGGAAGGATCCGCCGTCCGCACGTAATTTTACAATGGGCGGACGGCAAGGGGTTAAAATAAACTTTTATTTAAAAAATTGCATAATTTTAAAGCGACAATAACAAAAATTAAGAGAACATTTTTTTTTTTTTTTAAGTTGATGGTAAAATGTAAAAAATAAAACATTAACAGGAATATAATAGCTAAGGTTAAAAGGGGAAGAAGTTTATTACAGTGGACCAGGGTAAACGAAGGGGTAATGAGAAGTTAAGTAAAGTTTATTTTTAAAAACAAGTTTGTGAAGCTGCTTTAACCCATATCATATTAAAAAAATCAAAGGTCATCTCCATTGAGTTTTAGTATGTAGAATAAGTGTTATTTTATATCTCCATTTCCAATTTCTGAAGATTGCCAACACTGCTTAGAAGCTCTGCTTTTGATGGCAGCGGCTGTAATAGCTACTGTATTACACGCCCAGGATCGCGGGGACGGTGACCAGAGGTTGAGGCGCACACTCACTTGTATCATACAAGCGTTAGGCATCTTTACAGACGCCAGACCGCTTGTATGTAAACGGCCATCGCAGGGGGTGCGCGCGAGCGGGCGCGAAGGACGTCTAAAGACACCCACCCGCATGCAGGAGACTCCCGCTCGGCCGTCTTTCAACAATCGGCGGACGGGAGGTGGTTAAAATAGAGAACTGACTAAAAAACACTGAAAAAATACGCTCAGGTGTGAACCCAGCCTAAGAACCCAACATAATTATGATCAACAGCCGTTTTCTGGCATTAAATGTATACATATTTCTGAGAAATCCCTTGCCATTTAACCTGTGCTAAATGTACTACAACTGATTTCCTATTGTGCCCAATTCATCCTTCAGAAAAACTCCATGTATCACTCTATCTATTTTGGCTATAGCCACTATGCTTTTCCCTAAGTATTTAGGACCCCTTCTGATCCACCCATGTTAGCTTGGATGAGTTCTGTGCCTATGAACAAATGGTACTTTCTGATTCAAGAGAGGCGAATACAGAAAGACACACATACTGTACATAATGCTACTTTAATGAATTAAGTACTATTTATCACAACTAGTAGTTGACAACTTTTTCAATAATCGATTATAATCGATTATGTGGATTAGTTGTTGCAGCCCTACAACTAGGATTGTCTGCCATCACTTCCAAACAGACCTTCCCTATAACTTTCCAGTTACAACGATGAAAAATCATTAACCCAATAATTGTTACAAAGAAGAAACATGCCCAGTTTTTTTTTTTACAAGCATTCTGTTAAACCCAACTTTTTGAAAGAGTATAATAGCCTTTAAAACCTGCTCTATTTAGGGACAGTCCTCTAAATGTTACCTCCCTGCTAAATACCTCAAAATTGGTCAAAGATTAAAAAAAAACAAAAAAAAACTTCAGTCTGTATGCAAGTTACTGACTCAAGAGCGATCATGGCTTAGACACTCAAAAGTCTTGTTTCAAGCTCATCTATACCGTCTGCTACAATGACCTACTATGCGAGGGCATTTCTCCAAATCTTTTAAGACATTAGGGATTCACGGTAACAAAAGGAGTGAACAAGGATTATTAAACGGCATCAGTTAATTAACCATTTGAGAACTTACATGGTTGTTTTTTTTCCCCCTGACGTACCACCCAAGTACCTTGGGCATATCTCATATGCCCAGGGTTTCCTCCTCTGCCACAACCATTTCACCCAATAAAATATCCAGGTCTTGGTCTATACTCTGAAACATACACTTTTCATCAGCAGTAACAATAGTTTTAAAACACTAACATTTTGTTGCTTCTTTTTTTTCTTTATAGCGCATAGAAAATAAAATATTTTTTGCAAGATAATATTGCCAATGTCCCAAAAAAAAAGACATTATATATTCCGGTATCATAAGCAATGACAAACTACAAAATCAATTAGCTCATAGCTGAAATGAAAAAAACAAAACATCTTTATAAAGAGGTATATAGGCGCAAAAGATGAAGTGGGCATTAGGAAAGTAACACTTTAAAAATGTTTGGCTATTACTTTTATCAATGCTATAATATTAACATATCCCATTACATTTTCAGTTGATGTGAACCTTTCTATTCCCCAAGCATGTAAACCTAATCCATGCCATCAGGCCTAAGTGGTCAATGTTACTAAAATGTAAATTACTACATTTTGTCAAAAGTCAACAGCTAAGCTACCATCTCGATATCATACATCTCCCTCTAGCCACTGATATACAAGAACAGAGACATGTGACAAAAATGGCAGAGGTGTCCACGAATCACAAGATGGAAATGCATTGTGCAAGGGGCAAGATGGCGGTGTCCATGGGGCAAAAATTGGCTCTCTACTACTCAATTCTGTCCCCATTGTAATGTTGATCGCTATTAAAACCAGTGCCAACAATGTGTGCCTCCAGACATTAAAACTGTGTTCTTTTTACAAAGGAGATTATTTACTGGAGAAGAAACCTCCTGTTTTACTGTGATTATTGCAGATTTTCACTTACTATGCGGCGATAACCACGACTTTATACATGTGGTTTACATTGATAATGCAGTTCATCACCCCTTTATAAACATTTATGCTACTTGACTTCATGCACGTATGTATTCCACTTATACAACAATGGTACAGCCAAGGGCTGACTTACAGATAATCACAGGAAGATAAGAGCACTGAAAAATCATTAGGATACAACGGAAAGAAAGTAGAGTAATATTTTCCAATAATCTTCTGATAACCCGCTTTAAAAAAAAAAAGTCTAATCTTGGAACTGTGAGGGATAAAGAGCTGTATACCTCCTGTTTTGCAGATAGATCATTAGCCAATATCATGCAATAGCTGATAGCAGCCTGATCTTGAAATCTTTGTCCAGTGTTTGTCCAATTCCAGGAGAATTGGACAAACAGAGCAGTGGTTGTTTTTACACTTGCACACTGGTTTACTGCTTCTTCCAAAAAAGAAAAATGTCAGGGTTTTTTTTTTTTTAATTAAAGCAATTTCCAAATGCTTCTCAGCAACAATGCTATAGATTCAATAATTTTTATGTTGAAACACAAAATAGTCTATATGCAGCCACCCACTGCCTTAGTATACAATGCCTACTGTATACAGTGCATACAGAATTACTGTGGGGGGTTGTTGGCAATCCACTATTTCTTTAACACACTGTTTTGTCGTTTACATGGTAAACCGCATGGCAACATGTGTTGTCGAAAACACACACAAAATCCAGCAAACAGGACTTAAAAACAATGCATTCTGCCAGTGCTGCAAAAAAAATAAAAAAATTTGTGGAAATACTGCGGTCTCAAATGCACTGAAATACTGGGAAGAGGAAGAGAGAGAGACTAAAACTTGGGTGAATCGTATAGTGGACACTCAGGCCACAACAACTATTTTATGGCATTCATTTTTTTTACCTGCAACAGAGGAAAGAAGAAAACTATGGATCCTAACAGGTTGCTATTGGAAACACATCAATTTTTGCATGTTCATTCTGCACAGTACATTTTCACATCTTGCAAATTACCTCTGTATGTGTTTAAACAAACTCAGCCGGTACAAAAACATTTTTGCACAATTGATCCTTAAAGCTGTGACAAAGACTTTGATTTCCACTAAGATGGCATCTGTTTTTCTAAACTACAAAAATACCTGCTCCATCTGTTTCCTGGCATCTCCCCAAAGAGTGTCCAAGGCATTTGGGAGGTGCTGGCAGCAAATGGTAGGAAGAAAGCAGATAACAAAAGGTAAAAATTAATTACTTTAGAAAGAAGTACACTAATTTACACTCACAACAAACCTGCCATAACAGTAAAAGAACAGCTGTCATTGTGGACCTCCTTCCGAAAATGGTAGTTAACTGGCTATTAAGCTGACCCACTATTTTTATTGATTTTTAAAGCAAAATGATATGACAGCCAGGCAACTTGCATTTTAATAAACAGCTCTGAAATAAACAAGCATTCCTGTTTAGGACAGTGGAGCAGTGAAAAGATACCATACAAAGACAGATTTGCTTTGTGCCGAAAAAAGATGACAACATACAAGCAATGGGGAGCACATGAATAATTTTCCCACCCTGTGCCTGAAAAAAATGAATAATTTTAGGAGAGAATGCTTCCCTACACCAGTTATCAGGAAACACAGAATAACTACGGTAAATCTAATAGCATTCCTGTGAATGTGTTGCTCGTACCTGGACTTGCTCTCTAAGCTACAGGTATTTTCTAATAAGTTGAATAGAAGCTGCATTCACCCAAATGGACAGCAGGCAGCTCCAACACTGTTTTTTGTAAGCCTTTCCTGGTCCCTGGCATCGGTCAATGATCTACTCAGAGACAGAAACTGAATGGAAGCCTGCACTGATATATACATGTGGGTAAATCAAACAAAACTTACAGCAGCATAAGCTGTCAGCACATGGCTGTTGCTGCATAACGTCTCACCTTAAAGCCACCCAAAATTCTCCATTATTGTATCATTTATATTGGTGCTAAAAAATTTAAATATTGACAATTTAATACAAGAGTAATTAATCAAAACGCATCTAATTGAGATGTGAAAAATGAAAATGAACTGCACTGTATTGGTTTTAGACAGTAAAAACATTGTTATATACACAAACTACAAAGCATATATATTTGGTTGGTACCGATAAAAGAACAAAACATACTTGGTGTGAAAATGACAAAACATGGTCCCATGACTGACATACTTACAAGAGTTGTGTCTTCGACGAAAGTTCTTAGGCTGATTCTGACCTTCAGTTTGCCTGTCGACAAAAGTTTTTGAGCATGGCTGAGGGGATGTTCCAGCAGGATCATTAGCTATACCGTCTGTTTTCTGGGGGATGTTCTGTGCGCTGCTTGCCTCTGGTCTTTGTTTCCCTGTACCATTATGATTGCTGGCAGGCAATATTTTTGTGTGTTCAAGAGGCTGATTATGTATCGGTCTCCGACTGCCCTCAGGGATCTCCAAAATCTTTAAGCCTGCGATGTCCCCTGCCCTAAAAGAAAATACATTCCCTTGTTACTAGAAAAAATTCAGTAAATGGAGGATCAGTATATTTTATTGTTATCTATGGACCTAATTGCGTTCACAAAGTCATTCACAGGATAGGAACTAGAGGTGCACCGAAATGGAATTTTGGGACCAAAAATAATAAAATTTGTCAGGTCGAAAAATTGATATTTCCCTTTTGAAACAGAAATAGAGATTCAGGATACAAGTCCTCAATCAAGGAGTCCTCAATCTCTTTTTCTGCAACCGCTGTTATGAAACAACAGAAAGCCTCTAAACTGAGTGCTCCTGTCCATTCATAAACTGTGAATATAATATAAGATACTATGTCCACAATCATGAATGAACAGCAAATGATGTAGAGCACCTCCTATTCATTCATAATTTGCGACGCAGTAAGCGTTCTATGTCAATTATTTACAAACATAACAAATTTGAGATGGCAAAAGACCACAATGAAGACATCCATATTTGTTAAAAAATCTATTTTTATTCAATTATTATAATACAAAACTTTTTCCTACCATAAAAACAGTGAAAAACCAACTGGGGAACATGAGACGATGGATGTCTGCTTACAAGTACTGACCAGCACTTAAAGGAGAACTATGGGGTTAGGGCTTTTCCCCATAGTTATCCTAAGGGTAACGGGAGGACACAAACTAGCGTCATCCCATCACCCTAAGCTCAGTATACCGCTCTGTAGCTCACGGTATACTGAGAAGCCGCAGCTGAAACGGATCCCGACAATTATGTCTGGATCCACCCAGCTGAGTGACAGCTGGCTCTGCCTATCTAGAGGCAGAGCCAGCTGTCCCCGCCCCCTCCCCCGTCCGTTCCGCAAGTCAGCGCTGGAGGATCGGACAGGGGAGGGGGTGACAGGATCGAGAAGTGAGCGAGCGCTGGTATGTGTTCGCTCACTTCCCGATCTACTGAGCCGACCTGTGACAGTGTCATTGTCACAGGTCGGCTAGAACTATGAGGATGAGTGAAAAGCACTCACCTCATAGTTCTCCTTTAATGTTGAGGCAGAGACTGGAGTGCATCAAGTGTATATCTTCAAACAGCAGAACTCGAAGTAAAGTTTAAACTTCAACCAAAAAACTTAGACCGTGTAAACATAAATCAAACAAATACATATATCCATAATAACATTACATAGTTACATAGTATTTGAGGTTGAATAAAGACACAGGTCCATCACGTTCAACCTTTATGTGTCTGTATGTGATTGTGCATGTGTGTGTGTACACAAGTCTCTGTGTGGTCTAGTTTTTTAAGAGTACCTGTACCCCTGTATGTTACAGTCTCTTTTAGGAAGGTATCTAAATGCTTTTTGAATGATTCAAAACTCTCAGCTGATACCACTGCTCGCGGCAGCGAGTTCCAGATTTGAACCGCTCTAACTGAAAAAAAGCCCCTACGCCTACATTGATAATAGTCCACATAAATCGGTGATTTCAATTGTGTGTTTCCGCAGAATGATCAAATTTCCCACAGATGAGATTAGAGAACATGGGTAGTCAATATTATCACACAGCGATATCCAATTTATACGGTAAAGGATAAGGAGGAAGAGTATATCGCTGTTTCCCGTGCTTGGAGCATTGCAAAGCTGTTTCCGTGCATACTGCTTGCAAGTGCATTCAGTTAAAGTACCGCAGCGCTGAATACTGAAAAATGGCCTGGATGGGAAGGGGGTTTAACACCGCGGATGTCAACTGGTTAATAAGACCACTTTTTTGAATAAAGCCCCTCTTTTTTGTTTCCTCTGAAATCCTGCGGGAGGACATCAAGTATAAAGAGGAGATTAACAGCAAAAAAAAGTTAAAAAATTTGTGATATGGTGATTGGACCCTGCGAGATGTGCCCTTTAGTAACGCACGGGACCCTGGGCTTAGTAACGCACGGGACCCTGGGCTTAGTAACGCACGGGACCCTGGGCTTAGTAACGCACGGGACCCTGGGCTTAGTAACGCACGGGACCCTGGGCTTAGTAACGCACGGGACCCTGGGCTTAGTAACGCACGGGACCCTGGGCTTAGTAACGCACGGGACTCTGGGCTCACACATTCCAGCGCCAAAAAACTGGGCGGGATTACATTGAAGTGTGTGACCACATCACCGGTCACACATTCCAACCTAGTCCCAATCTTTGATAAAACAGCAGCCCTGTCTAATCATTGAATCAGATAAATAGATTATAATAGTCAACATTACAGTGCAATGTTCCCCATTATAATCCACTTTTCTGATTAAATGAAATAACAGCACACAGTGTGCAGTTAAACCCGTACCCCCACTCCCCCCCACCCCTGGCTCCTCATTCGGACTCACCTGCCAAGCCTCACAGCCAGACTGTGTGCACTGCAGGGGGTGGTACATGTGACACATACGTCTTCTCTCCCGCCGCCTGTTACTAGGGACCCGGCCGGGAGAGGAGGTGAGTCACAGTAACCGCCCCACTGCTTAGAAGCCGGTTGGCAGGACGGGATCCCTGCACTGCCGCATATTCCACCGGGGGAGGGTTCCCAGGATCGTACTTCACTGGGCCCACCCACAGCCTCAGGCCCCGGCGGTAGCTCCGCCCCTGGACAGTGAGCCGCAGCAGAGGGGATGAAAGAGCCAAATCCGGCTCCGGAGGCGCGAGTTGCTGACCCCTGCCATAGATGAACAGAGGAGAGGAATTCGTTGGGAGTAAGCCGCTCATGATCTACATCCAACTACGGAAGCAAGATCTAGCAGATATCTGGTGAGTGCAACATAGAGCATATTTAGGATAATTGTGCAAGAAAGATCAGAAGAGTACAGAATATGAATTGAATATTGCTGTGTGATAATATTGACTACCCCTTTCGCTGTTCCCTAATCTCATCTGTGGGAAATTTGATCATTCTGCGGAAACACACAATTGAAATCACAGATTTATTTGGACTATTATCAATGTTATTGTGGATATAACAAAAGGATTTGTTTGATTTAGGTTTACACGGTCTGCGTTTTTTGGTTGAAGTTTAAAATATTCAGTATTTATGTAAGAATACGAAACTCAGAACAGTTGGATACATTTGTTAATATATTTTTTCACGTAAGTATAATCTGGAGCCTAGCGCAACACAGTAGTCATTTAGTTTTTTAGGTGTTTACACCGAGGTTTTGTTGCAGCTGGTAACGTTCACTCACATAAATCCTAGCGCAGCCTTCACTGATATCAACTAGCAAATTTTCTTACTTTCCTGAAGAAGCTGCAATGTGAAACGCGTCGAAGGTTGGAGTGCTACATCAATTATCAACAATAATCACCCTGTTGAAAATCTTACAAAAGAGAAGCAACTAAATATTGTATCCCTATGGGTGAAAAATCTATATGAAATTTATGTATTTCACTGTTTTTATGGTAGGAAAGAGAGCTTTATGATCTTAAATAAACGATTTACAAATATGGATGTCTTGATTGTGGTCTTTTGCCATCTCAAAAAGCCCCATTAAAAAGGTCAGATGACATTTTGTCTTGGGACACCTATATCCACTGTTCTGCTCTATTTACAAACACACAGCGATCAGCTGACCACTGGAATGCTTGTAAGATGCTCTTCATCCTGACTCGCTGTCTCAGGCTGAGCGTGCGGTGTGGGAGGAGAGTTCAGGCTCCTGTGGCACCACTGAAAGCCGACTCCTCCCCCGCACCGCTCCTCAACCTGCTTTGCTTGTCACAGAAGGCCGAGCGGGGCAGTGTGGGGTCAGATGGGACACAGAGGAGCGCCCAGTAGGGAGGAGAGAAACTAGAGATGCACCGCATTTTCTGCCCAAAAAATGGTGCTTTCTGCATTTTGCCCAAAGTACCATTTTCGGCGGCCAAAATTTTGGTGCAGCCATAATAGGAACACTAATATATTTCTGGAGTGTGAAAGAAAACATTATGATTACCGAGGTGTTTCAATTGTTATTCTGTTAACCTTCCAATATGCACTACCTGGGAAATACAAACAGCATATGGTGGAAAAATTGGATTATTCTTCGAAGATCACAAGGATCTATTGTTTCATGTGATCTTCTATTGTTCCCACAAACAAAACAAAATGTTTTCTGACAAACTGCAACACTTGTTTATTTGGTGTGGCAGTTGATAGGGTTTCAAATGAATGCTCTGTTTCTTCCTATTTGGGATTCCTCTCACTTATTCTTTCTTTACTTCGAGTTAAATTTTGGGGTTTAATAAGGAGTTGCGCTAATATTGCGCAACATAAAAATTTTCAACTACCACCATTTTATTCTATAGGGTCTTGGCATTCAGAAAATATATAATGTTGGGGGGTTTTATGTCATTTTCAGGCCTAAAATGTGGAATATAACATGGGTGCAAAAAATGAAAAAAGGGCCTCAGTCATGAAGGGGTTAAAAGATATACACTTGATGCACCCCTCCAATGCATCACTTGTTTTGCTTCTGACAAACATGAAAAACTGAAGCGAGAGACCAGTGTTTTAAGGAGGGCAACTGACTGAACCGCCTCTTCCAGAACTTCAGACTTGACATTTCAGATACCTATCAGCAGAGATTCAGGAGGTCAAATACCAACTTTTGGTCCTGTGACGGGCATTGAAGGGGAGAAGAATTAGGTAATTGCACTGAAAAAATACACTGCAGCTCTCTCTATCATTTAGAGCGTACATAGGGGTTGTATTTCAAGAAATGTTTCAAAGAGATTGCAGAACTGCTTTAACCACTTGCCGTCCGCCCGTAGTAAAAAAACGTACGGACGGCACTGCAGCATTGGCGGGTTGCCGTCTCCAGACGACATTTTTTTTCTGCTCGCTCGCGCGCGCCCCCTGGTGGGCACGCACGGGCAGAAAAGACCCGACCATTGCACACACCCGTTACCGGGTGTTTCACATATAGGCGATTAGCGGCTCCATAGCCCGCCGATCGTCTATATGTGCTCGTTCGCGTACGCCACCGCCGCCTCACCTTGAATCCCGGGACCCCTCACCTTGAATCCCGGGATCCGCTGCCCCGGTGGAAGGGGGTTTAACACCGCGGATGTCAACTGGTTAAGTATTACAGAAATAAAGAACAAAGTTGTCCAAGTTAGATTGAAAACATTGCTCCTTACCTTCTGAAAATGGATTGTATGTAGGATCTGACTTATTAACCTGATAATCACAAAGAAAAAAAACTTAGCTCACCTGAATGTAACTTCTGGAACAAGGCACTTCACCCCATTGTGGAAGGGCTGTGTAAGTGATATAGTCTGATTGATCTGGTCAACAGCAGACACCCGGCCCTGATATACACCCAATGTGTCTCCACAATTAATGGACACAACGCTTCCCAGCCAGTCTGCGGCCATGATGGAATCAGCGATTGTCTGACTACACCTGAAAAAATATATAGGTTAGTATTAAACAATAGAAATGCTCTAATCATATAGTAAATATAAAAGATGAGACATTGTTTTGTGAATAAGATTTGTTGGATATCCCCCTAAAAAATATAAATATTTGGATCATAGCGATAGATTTAAAAAAAAACTGTATTCTTCAATTAGTATCACATGTCTTCAATCTTGTAATGATTATTATACTAATACAGGATTTATATATAGCGCCAAAAGTTTGCGCAGCGCTTTACAAAACTGAGGGAGACCATACAATTAACAATGCAAGTTCAATACAGGAGGTAGGAGGGCCCTGCTTGTGAGAACCTGCAATCTGTTTGGGATGATTTAGTGGAAGAACTGAAAGTACTGTTATATCGAGGTGGAATAGGCCTCCCCGAAGAGATGAATTTTTTAAGGATCCTCTAAAGGTGGACAGAGGAGGAGGTAGGTGGACTGATTGGGGTAGGGAGTTCCAGAGGATGGGAGACACCTTTTAATAATCCTCGAGGCGAGCATGCGAGGAGGTGACAAGAGAGCTGGAGAGCAGGAGGCCTTGGGAAGAGCAGAGGGGGCGGTTTGGGTGATATTTTGAGATGAGGTCAGTGATGTAGGTTGCGGCAGAGTTGTAGATGGCTTTGTAGGTTATTGTTAGTATTTTGAATTTTATACGTTGGGGAAGTGGGAGCCAGTGGAGCGATTGGCAGAGGGGGGTGGCGGACACTGATCAGTTGGTAAGGTGGATGAGTCTGGCAGAAGTGTTCATGATGGACTGAAGGGGGATAGCCTGTAATCAGTCAGCCTACATAAATGGAGAAAACTAGAAACTCTCTGTGGTTTGGTATCATCGTGTGCACCACACTGAAGATGCATCAAAAAAAGCAAAGGAGAGAGTTGTCTGAGGCAATCGAAAAGAAAAGTATAGACCAGCATGTCAAAAGGTAAAGGTAAATAACATATGCAAACAGCTTTATGTTCCTGTGACTACAGCTGCAAATATTATTAAGAAATGTAAAGTCCATAGGAGTGTAGCCAACCTCCCTGGACTGATGCAAGTGGAAAACTAACCCCCAGATTGAACAAAAGGATAATAAAGGTGTTAATAATAAATGGTGGACACACAGCTAAAAAAAACTTCCAAAGAGATAAAAACAGAACTCAAGTCCAAGGTGCATCAGTGTCTGATCTGTACCATTTTCATTAGTTTATTATATGATTATTTATAATATTCAATAAAAATTAAAAGCAAAGTCCGATTTTATTAAAAATGGAAGAAACAAATTACTTTTGATCGCAAGAAATTATTTCGGAGAGTTTTTCTTTTTTCATGGAAGGGTATTAACAAATGTTACCCAATTCTATATCTGATAAATGGTCACAGTTATTCCTGAATGTGCTCTTAACAAATGTATGTAGTCAATGAGCAGTCAAAAAGGCAAACACAGGGTTCTAACCCTATACCCAAATCAAAAAAAAGTTTTGCTAGTTAAAAGGTCACACTATCAGACCCCATTCACACTGAGCGACATGGAGAATCGCAATTTCGTGCTGCTACATTGGGCTGTAACCAATCAACAGCGGTCTTGATGTGACATCATTCTTTCCTTCCATATTGCTGTGCAAAAGTGACCCTTCTGTAGCGCGATGTCGCGCAATATCGCCGGTAATGCGCGACACCATTGAGTCTATGGGGCCAAACCGCTCGACATCTGCCGAAAAATAGGTCATGTTCGAGCTAGAAGCTTGAGCGACATTGACATGTGAACAGTTAAATTGAAATACATTGGACAAGCTACATTGACCTCCCTGGCGGTCTGATTTTTTCCTTTGTTTCTATTTTTTTACTTTTAAATTTCCCGCCGGTTCCCCCCTGTGACGCGGACGCTCGCAAGGGACGGAAGACGGCATTGGCCGGAGGACACAGCGGGGATCGTAGACATGTAAGTAACGCGCTGTGTAATCCCGAGTGTGGCTCGGGGTTACCACTTTTGGTACTGAAAATTAACCCCGAGCCACACTTGGGATTACCGCCAGAAAGGTTAAGCGACATTGCGCGGAAATATGCGCAATTTTGGCACGGAAATCGTGCGATAAACCACTCAGTGTGAACGGGGTCTAACAAGCCATGTACGTTTCACATTCATTTAATTTGCCGTAGTATCTAAATTTAACATATCGAGTAGTAGTATCCAATAGTGCCCCAAAGGTAGGATACTAGTCTTCCCATCCAAACCAAAGATTGGGGCACCATTCCTCCTGCCAACACCAAAGATTGGGGCAATATTCCTCCTGCTGACACCAAAGATTGGGGGATTATTCCTCCCGTTGACACCAACAATGGGGCACTATTCCTCCTATCGTCATCTCTAAGCCTGATGAAGGGACCCTGTGAGGCCCTCAAAGTGTTTGTCTGAGTGGCAACATATGCTAAATAAATTGATGCTTGCTGATTTCAACGTTACTTTGGTGTGCTGGTGACATCCTTATCAAGTTTTGCTTTTTTGGGATATCCAGTAAGAAGCGCAGCATGACATTTCTTTATTTAACTATTCCTCCCACCGACGGTGCACCATTCCTCCCGCCGACACACCAACGACGGTGCATCATTCCTCCCACCGACGGGGCATCGTTCCTCCCACCGACGGGGCATCGTTCCTCCCACCGACACCAACGACGGGGCATCAATCCTCCCACCGACACCAACGACGGGGCACTATTCCTCCTCCCAGACACTAGGACATTGTTTTACTTCCACTTACCACCAAATCTAGGGCATTGTTTACTCCTCCTGGCCACAGTCCAGTCCCTCAATAGTTTGAAACAGTGAACTTGCAGTTTAGAAATCTTAGGGATCTGTGGTTTAGTACATTTTTAGGGGCCTACTAAAAGGAATGACAGAATGGAATGCCCATAGACTTTGACAGGGGAAGAGAATGCCCATAGACTATAAGGAAGCCAAACGGAATGCCCATAGAGTACAATGGGAAGCAAAGTATCAGATAATTTGTAGGCAAATCTGAAAAAGATATCAACTTATCCTTTACCACAGATCTTCCCCGTGTATAGTAACATCTTTTACAATTGAAATAACTGGATTTTTCCTGTTTTCTATGGAATGACAAGGGTGAATGACACCAAGAATGCCCATAGAGTATAATGGGAAGAAAGATGGGCCTTGGAGTCGAGAACCATATGACACATCAAATAAATCTTTAGCAGGCATACTCTCCAAACACAGTAGCATTGATCTAAATTGAGATTAGGTGGGATTATCATGATTTTCTATGGAATGATAAGTGTGAATGACACCAAGAATGCCCATAGACTATAATGAAGCCAAACGGAATGCCCATAGAGTATAATGGGAAGTAAAGTATCAGATAATTTGTAGGCAAATCTGAAAAAGATATCAACTTATCCTTTACCACAGATCTTCCCCGTGTATAGTAACATCTTTTACAATTGAAATAACTTTGGATTTTTCCTGTTTTCTATGGAATGGCAGGTGAATAGCACAATGGAATGCCCATAGAATATAATGGGAAGAAAGATGGGCCTTGGAGTCGAGAACCATATGACACATCAAATAAATCTTTAGCAGACATACTCTCCAAGCACAATAGCATTGTTCTACATTGAGATTGGGTGGGATTATCATTATTTTCTAGAGTGAATGACACTATGAAATGCCCATAGTCTATAATGGTATCATAGATTTACCATGTAGGCATAATTACTTGACATTTAAAATAACTTTTGAGCAGATGTGCTGTTCAACACAGTAGCATGTTTTAGAAATCAGATGAACAGGGATTATCATTGTTTTCTTTTGGAAAGGCAAGCCTGGTGACATGATGGAATGCCCATAGAGGTATAAAGGGAAATACAAAATTAGCTCATTTCCAGGCAAATGTGTGTGGCGTAGAAAATTAACCTTTTATTTACAGATGTTCCCCAAGTGCAGTATCAAGTGCTAAGATTGAAATTGTCTGACAGCGTTGTTTTCTTCTAGGGAATAACATGAGTTAATACGGAAGTATTTGGGAGAGAAGGAAAGGGTCCTTTGGGAGGAGCAGCAGCAGGACCCTTTGTTCTGAGCACTGGTGACATAGGTAATACGTTGGGAGCTTTGACACTATTTGCAGCAGGCAAGATGCATGATACCATTGGCGACATTTGCAACATAAAACCATGCAGTCGGTGGGGGTGAATGACCCAGGGCAGGTATTCTGCCCACACGTCGACCATCTGCTGCTGTCCCTATCTAGAAGAGATGAAACGTAGGTAGAAAGTGGCTTCTCGATGACAGCGGTTTTCATGTTCATTTGTAGAAATGCTTTGTGTTTTTTAATATGCAAATCTTTGTTGAGTTTTTTTGTCTCCAGCCTTTTGCAGTTGCACTGCTTATGTTCTGCTACATTTAATGCAATCCATTTTCGAACGTGTTGACTAACAACATTATGATACTGATGTCCAGAAATAATCGAATAAACGTTCAATACAGTGTAGACACCACAGTCAAAATTATTGTTTTGTTGGACCGCATCTTCACAAAGGTATACTCTCCATTCCTCTTTGGAGAAAGATACATTTGCTAACTGGTAACATGAAGCAGCAATAGATAAAGCAATGTCAGCATGTTCCTCTGTTCTTTCTTTTTCTTTTCATGAATCCAAAAATATTATTTCCTTGGTACTAAAAATTACAACAGAAAGGCACCAGTGCTGTCCAGGACCATAGGCATCCGTGTTGAAAGGAAGCAAGAGAATGTCTTTATTTAGAGCAACATTTTCCCCCCAAAAATTGTAAAAAATGTCTACCGTGCCTCTTACCATACTCTGGAATATGAAAGTGGGACACATCAAAACCTTTTCGGTGAGCGTCCTCTGACAAATCAAATTGCTTATGGCTTCTTCTATCGCCTCATCACAAAGCCATTCTCCAGGATCCAATGTCTGCAAAAACTTTTTTTTCCACTCTGCCTAACAGGCTGTTATCCAGATCTGTAGCTGGCACATCCCATGGAGACAATTCATTGTGTGCAACCGTTTCATTTCCTCGAGTCGTTTCTTTTTGTGGTGTAGAATGTTTGGGCTGGTTTTCAAAGCTTATGTCAGAAATACCCATCTCCTGTTTTACTTTTGATTGAGATAATTGTTCTCCCAAATTTTTCTCTTGTAAATGTCCTTTCTCAGGTGAAAAGTAAAGAAATTAATCTGCTGCTGGCTCCACATCATAATCTCCTTTCCTTGGTTTCTTCCTTCCTGATTTCTTTGGTCGGCCTCGTTGTTTTCTCTTGCAAATCATAGACAATGAGTATGTTTGCTTGTCCACTGCCTCCTTCCATCCAACTGACGTTTGAGCTGCTATATGATAAGATAACACAGCCCTGTGCTAGGACAAGAACAAACAGCTGGTTCTGGAAGAAGTTTGACTGCATGTATTCTTTTGCCATAAATGCTGCGTACAACAAATGTTGAGGACTGTGGACAGAGTGTAATACCACCAGATTCTATGCAGTATTTTGCCAGAGACCTTTGACTCATTCGGTAATGTTTCCCCTTTTCCACTCCTTTGACTGGCTCTGGATCTGAATTTTTGATTTCATCGATTATGGTCTCTAGTGGGTAAAAGGCAGGAAATTTTACATCTGCCACTCTTTTTCTCAAATGCGAAAATTGTTTTTTCACTTCACAGCACATCTGCTTAAAAGTTATTTTAAATGTCAAGTAATTATGCCTACATGGTAAATCTATTATACCATTATAGACTATGGGCATTTCATAGTGTCATTCTTGGAGAGTATGTCTGCTAAAGATTTATTTGATGTGTCATATGGTTCTCGACTCCAAGGTCCATCTTTCTTCCCATTATATTTTATGGGCATTCCATTGTGCTATTCACCTGCCATTCCATAGAAAACAGGAAAAATCCGAAGTTATTTCAATTGTAAAAGATGTTACTATACACGGGGAAGATCTGTGGTAAAGGATAAGTTGATATCTTTTTCATATTTGCCTACAAATTATCTGATACTATGCTTCCCATTATACTCTATGGGCATTCTTGGGTGTCATGCACACTTGTCATGCCATAGAAAATAATAATAATCCCACCTAATCTCAGTTTAGATCAATGCTACTGTGCTTGGACAGTATGCCTGCTAAAGATTTATTTGATGTGTCATATGGTTCTCGACTCCAAGGCACATCTTTCTTCCCATTATACTCTATGGGCATTCTTGGTGTCATTCACCCTTGTAATTCTAAAGAAAACAGGAAAAATCCAAAGTTATTTCAATTGTAAAAGATGTCACTATACACGGGGAAGATCTGTGGTAAAGGATACGTTGATATCTTTTTCAGATTTGCCTACAAAATATCTGATACTTTGCTTCCTATTATACTCTATTCCGTTTGGCTTCATTATAGTCTATGGGCATTCTCTTCCCCTGTCAAAGTCTATGGGCATTCCATTCCGTCATTCCTTTTAGTAGGCCCCCATTTTTATTATTTTCATTTGGAAAGTAAAAACAAACAAAAATCCTCACAACAGACAGCAATGTAAAGGTTTTTGTTTTGTTTTTTCTAATAAAGCGGGGAACATTTTTATCATTCTCTCCGTCCCCTCACTTCTAGTCATGTCACTAGGAGACACAGTATAAAACAAGCCTCATGGTCACTCTACCCTTTCCCCAATCTAAGAAGAAAAAAAAAAGGTTCTGGCTGGAATTTTGCTACAAGTACTATCAGATGCTTTGTCTTTGATTGTATTGATAAGAGTGGACATCATATTAGTGCACTCCCTCGTGGTACATATACACAAGTGAAAACGGGGCAATAAGGACACCAGAAGAGAGCACAGAAGATACACTGCCCCCCTTCCCCCGTACATGAAAACCTGTATTAAAGACGCCCTGCACACAGATATCAGTGTCCCCGCGCTGTACTAACACAGATATGCCGCGCATTACGACATTGATATCCAACTACCTGTCTGTATTGATCACAACAGCAGCAAGACACCCACCTCAAAACACACAGAAGTAACCAACTACGACTTCCGCTCGCAGACGCCTAAAAATGACGTCACTACCGGTTGGAAGTACCGTAGGGTGCTGCTATGGAGACAGGTGTGCGCTTACAATCCCTTACGTACGTGCCTGTCCCGTAAGCGTGCTTACAGCGAGTTCTACACACAGCGCATGTGCAACAGGACCCCGTGCGCGCTCCTGAATTACATATAACGGGTTAACTTTTAGCCGCAGCAAGTTTTGTTTAATGTGTCCAGGCCACAATAAATGTGTAACCTAAAAAACACTAAAATATAATATAGTTCATCTTAACAATCATTAGATGTGGGTACATCAGGTTTCATCAGTTTCAGTAGGTTTTATTTCAGTGGGTGATCCTACCAGAATTATACTTCCTGTCCTTGGGTGACAACTCTCACTCCTCCACTGTATCTCAGAAGGGAGCATTGGTTGTCACCCAGACTTGACAAATTCATGTACTTGTCGAAAGTACATTTCATTTTCAGCTCCCTGGCCACACATCAGCATTAGTTGCTATGACGCGTAAGGTTGGTTGTTACGCTGCTGTGCAACCAACAGCATCCTAGCAACCAAGGATGCTGGGAATCTGAAACTGTGCAGCCCACAACATCATCACAACCAATGACACTGGGCTGCCAGCAGCATTAGTTGCTATGATGCTGTTGGCTGCACAGGATTGGTTGTTATGGTGCTGTGTAGGGCTGCAACAACTAATGGATAATCGACCCTAGGAGTCTAATAGACCCCTAATGTCACCTTAAATAGAACCTGTCATCTCCAATGTGCTCCCCATGTTATAGCAATAAAGTTAACAAAAAATATATATATACATATATATAAAAAATAAAAATTGTGTATATATATTTATATATAATATTTTATGTATAATTGTATTTTTGGTCCAATTCTGGTGTTATTTTAAATAAAAGTTTGGCTACTTTATTATATTGGCTTGGAGTTTTTCAATTCAGATTATTTTAAATCCATGAAACTAACTAAAATGTCTAATATAATGCATACAATTATTTAAAATACTTATAAAATGTGAAAAGTAATTTTCAGTTTCAGCCTGACAAATTCTGCTCCGGGAGGTGCGTTGCAGCACTATTCATTTCAATGGCACCCCCTACGCCTCCTGCCCATAGTGCAATCACCTGCATTGGAACGCGCGGTACCGCAATGCCCTGCGTTCTAGAGCGGTGCAATTGCATAGAATTGTGCATGCAGTTTTATTCTGAAGTAAACTTTATGTGTGTAACACTGCATTTGTGTATTTTATTTTAAATAAAAGGTGGTATTTAATTTTTTTTCATCCAATTTTTGAAAAAATTATTGGCCAACTAATCGATTGTGAAAATAACCGTTAGTTGCAGCCCTAGGGCTGTGTGGCCAACAGCATCTTAGCAACCAAGAATTCTGTACAGTGGATAGCTTAATAGCAACCAAGGATACTTTGTAGTCAACAACATCATAGCAACCAATGACGCTGGGCCACCAGCAGAATTAGTTGCTATGACAGTGTCGACTGCATAAGGTTGGTGGTTATTGTGCTGTTTGGCCGACAGTGTCCTAGCAACCAAAGATGCTATACAGTCGACAGCATCATAGCAACCAAGGATACTGTGCAGTCAACAGTATCAGAGCAACCATTGATGATGAGCCACCAGCAACATTAGTTGCTATGACACTGTCAGCTGCACAGGTTGTTTTGGTGCTGTGTGACCGACAGCGTCCTAGCAACCAAGGATGCTCTGCAGTCAACAACATCATAGCAAGCAAGGATACTGTGCAGCCGACAGCATAATAGAAACCACTGAGTCTGGGCCACAAGCAGCATTAGTTGCTAAGACGCTGTCAGCTGCGTCTGTTGTGGGCCGACAGCAACACAGCAACCAATGATGCTGTTGGTCAACAGTGTCCCAGCAACCAGTAGTGTGGGGGTTGGGGGCGGGCAGCATGGTCCTACTTACTCCAAAATGACATTGGTCCCAGGGGCGTCCTGAGGCTAGGTGACACCCGGAGCGGTAACCGACTGTCACCCCGCCGAGACGTCACCACACATAATGACTAAGTCATTTTGGTGTCACCCCTACAATGGGGGCACACGGGTGCGGGCCGCACCCCCCTTGTGACGCCACTGATTGGTCCTAATTATTTGTTAATTAATTTGTCACGGCCATAGCGACAGTAATGTGTCACAAATAGGAACTTTGTGAATGTGTCGAACAATTAACTATGGAACTATTGCAAACCTTTTATGAATTCTGCGCAAGGGTTCTACAGGCATCCATAATGTCAGATTTGTGTCACAAAGCCTTTATTGAACCGGTCACTGTTTGTCTTTGTTAGAACAGTTTAGCTCACAGCAGATGACGAGGACATGGCCTTTCTGGCCAAATCTGCATGGATTTTCTGTATTTTCTGAAAATTATCCTTCCCTGAAAAAAAAAGAAAACTAATGCAGCCACCATATCTAAGGACTGTTACGCTGCAATATATTACATTCTTGTTCTTGGGCTTTGTTATCCCTTGAACTCTTCCTCCACAGAGGCTACATTTAAAAAAAACAGTTTAATTGCCAGCCAGCCATGGTGGTAAATGTTTGCAATGCAGCTGTTTTTGGTCGTTAAGTTGAATCTGTCACTTTGCCCATTTAGGACAATGAGACAGATAACACGGTTTATTGTTTATCTTAGTAAAACCACAGCAAATATGGACTGATTCATACACCTTCCACCCAGTGTATACAGCAGCTGGGCGAATGCTATTCGCATTGCACTACTACCACTAGATGGCACTGAGGAGCATCGGAATTTACAGATCACATTTTCTGCATGATTAACCCTTTTACTGCTACCACTGTAAATCTGACAGGATGACAACAAAAGAATATACAAAAACCCACAGACAAAATTTGGCAACGTTCTCGTCCAATCAGAGAATGCCTGGAATGTATTCCGAAAAATGCTAGGCATTTACTAGATGGCTTCTGTGCTGAGTGGAAGTCACTCAGAACAGCGGCTGTTCCAGGACTTGGAAGATTGCTCAAAGACAATGTAGTAGCTGCGGCTTCTATAGTGTTTTACAGGATCCCTGTGTCCCTGCCAGGGATCATTTATGTATACTTACATTGTGGCAAGCTAGACCATTG